GCTGAGAGGGATCTTGGAGTCATAGTTGACTCCAAGATGAACATGAGCCGACAGTGTAACAAAGCCATCAACAAAACCAACTGCACCTTGTCGCGCATTAGCAGATGCATGATCAACAGATCGAGGGAGGTGATGCTCCCCCACTATGCAGCACTGGTCAGGTCGCAGTTGGAGTACTGTGTCCAGTTCTGGGTGCTGCACTTCAAAAGGGACATGGAGAATCTGGAGAGGGTTCAGAGGAGGCCACTCACATGATTAGTGGCCTCCGTAAAAGACCCTACGAAGGGAGGTTGAGGGATCTGGATCTCTTAAACCTTCACAAGAGACGTCTGAGGTGAGACCTTGTAGCTGCCTATAAGTTTATCAAGGGAGGGCAACAGGGAATTGGAGATGCGCTATTTACCAGAGCACCCCTAGGAGTAACTAGGAATAATGGGTGCAAACTAGTGGAGAGTAGATTCAGGTTGGACATTAGGAAGAAATTTTTTACAGTAAGGATGGCCAGAATCTGGAACGGGCTGCCGAGAGAGGTGGTCCTATCACCTAACTTGGAGGTCTTCAAGAGGAGGCTTGATAGACACCTGACTGGGGTCCTCTTTCCTGCCTAGGGCAGGGGGTTGGACTCAATGATCCAACTGAGGTCCCTTCCGACCCTGGCATCTATGAATCTATAAGAGCAGGCCCTGAGGAGCACGGCCAGCAGTTGCTGCAGGGATACTGCTGGAGTAACATCTCCCGGCCGGTGTACTGCTGCTCCCAGAAACATTGTGGAGGCTAAGAGTAGGAACTATGGGGATGGAGGAGGTTCCTAGGGACCCAGTGGGGTCCTAAGCCCCGAGGAAATGACTATGGGCCTAAGGAGAGCTCGGCCAGCCTAGAGAAGGGGCTTAGAGTGGGGGCCTACTGAGGGGCTAGGCAAGTCCCTAATCAGAACTGACTCTGACTGAGGCCAGGGGCTCAGATGAGCCCAGTGGAGTCAAGGGCTGCCAGACACAAGATCTCTGGGGCACTAGGCAGGTCCAATGGGCTATATGGTGGGGCCAAGGGGGGAACCCTGCTGAGTAGGGAGGTCAGCTGCTGCCACGCTAATCCTCAGACTCTCAACTGGTCAATGCAAGACAGCTGGGGCCGACAGGCCAAAGGGCATGGAAAGCCACCGCAAGGGGCAGGCCAGGGCTGCAGAGAGCTACTGGCACCCTAACTGGCCTAGAGGTGGGGCCAGAGCCTAGAAGAGGCTGAAGGTCCCCTTGATGGGGGAGACATCACTGCTGAGAAAGGAGAGGTCAGCAAGAAAGCAGGCTGGTATGGAGGCTGTAGCCCAGCTTCCTGATGGGAGGTATCCTGCAAGGGGCCTGTGAGAGTGATGGGACTAGCAGATGATGCACAGATTATGCGATGGAGGCTGTCAGAGACTGCCCGGGAGAGAGCAGGTAGGCCTGCATGGGTCCTGGGGAATGACCTAAAACTACACCCTGCTGGGGAGGGTTGTGTGGTGGGGCTGCTTGCGGCAGGGCAGACCTCAGGGAACACCACACCAGTGCCTCCCTAGTGAATGGCCAGTATGGGGTGCTGGAAAGCCTCAGCTCCACCGCCTTGCAAGTGACCCCGTGGAGGGGAAAGGCTAGGGGAGCATACCCTGACAGAAAAGCAACAGGCTTGGGCAACAACATGGAGGCCAGGAGGGCTTGGGCAAAAGCACAACTGACACCAGTTAAGGCTCAAACACAAAACATGTAAATGACGGTTTTTTCAGCAAAATAACACCAGCTGTGTCCAATCACATTTGCACTAACAGCTCCTCTGATAGCCTGTTTAAAACAAAAATTAAGCTGAATCCAGCACCTTTGTTTGCTGTAATAAAACATCACTGTACCTGCATATAAGGATGTACATACAATATGCTGACATTGCCCTTGCTCTGCATTTTAACTTAAGGAACAAGTAACTCTTATGCCAAAACAGTTTTAAAACAAGAATAAAGTACATCCATCTGTATCATAAGGTCATTTTTTTATTAAGGGTCCATATAAACCCAAAAAACAAATCTCATTCGTGTTAAAACTCAAGATAAATATAGCTGAACACTTACCAATTGTTTCTATTACTTAGGTTCCAGGTATAATATAAATACTTAAGGCTGTATCTGGCAATAAAAATCTTGAGCGGGTATAAAAGCTTCATTTTCCCATACAGAAGATCAGTATCACTGTATCAAAGAGTTAGATCCCAGAAAATATAACATTTTGGCATTCTCTTATGACTACAGGTCCTTATGGCTGCTCGTATTTGCATAAACAAGCATTCTGTTTCAAAACACTGAGAGTGGTTTTAAAAAACAAAAAGCAAAAACACTTTAAGCTATCATCTTTAGGAGTGAATTTTTTTCAGTAATTTAATACAGTAGTAGTTGGTTATTTCAATACCCGGGATTCCTCTTCACAACCACAACTGCTGAGTCGTTCCATAGTGCAGGCATTACAATGCAGTGGAAAATTATTTGCATATTAAACCTGTTATTAATGTGATAAACCTTATAAGGAATCTGTATTATAGACAATATGTAGTTCAAAGGGAACTTCCAGTCCTGGGAGGTAGTGATGCAGAGTTGCAAATTGCTTTAAAATGGCTCTCTGGTTTTGTTCTTGTCTTTCAATTCCTGGATTATCTTCTTGCCGGTAGTGTCAATTTTTAGTTAATTTTATTATTAAACCCCTTTGCAGTGTCTTTTCTATACACTCTGGAGTAGTAAAGTTTACAGTAGGAGGGATGTTGTGATCCTGGATTTAGCTCCCCACAGGCTCAAGGGCTTGGAGTCTCCACTCCACGAATGAGCTGCACTCTCTTGTTAATCCATAGGAATGCATTCTACAGTGTAGCCTCACTTTTAAAAACAAATCTACACAGCCTAAGAGGCAAATCAACAGGACTATTTGATATAACACTCAGGACGTTTTGGATAATTACAGGAATAACAATCCTACACACCCTGTCCTATTGCTGAGGAAAGGCAGAGTCACCTAAAAAGTGCAAATTGACCAAGGCACAAGCTGCTCTGAGCTGGTTAACTGTCCCATTCTCTATTGTTCTGATCACCATTTTCATCGTCTTCAGAGTCAGCAGACACTTTCTTAATTCTCTGGATGGCTGCCTTTATGCTTCTTTCAAGTTCATTGCTGGATTCTCTGACAACTTTCTCCGGATCTCGATTCACTTTCCTTAGCTTAACTCCTTGTCTTATGGCTAAGAGGATGCTGTCTTTTATTGATGCATCTGAAGGTGATGAATTAGGCTTTTCCACTCTTCGAAGAAAAACTTCACCATGCCTCAGTGAGGCCAAAACCTTATCCATGGTTCCTACGGCAGATCAAACCAAGTTATTGTTCTCAAAAGAGAGGTCAGCAATACCTACATTATTTAATTATAAAACCATATAAGGATGCTTGGGATAGTTCCCTTGTCTTGTAGAGATTTAAGTATTGTCTGTCTGGACCCAGATTCCCACATTTTTCCCAAGCTAGTAGTCCCAATATCTGGAACTGGGCCCCTCAAGCTGAGAATCCGGCCCTCTCTGTCATTGCACAAGTTTATGTACTGGAGAATTAATTATATGCAAAGGAGGACACATTTCTCTTTCACTGCAGTTTTTTAAAACATGTAAAGCAGTTACTGAACCAAAAACCTTAGCTTGTGTCCATTATTAGAAACACTAGCATTTTCCTTAGCTTGCTCAGATGCCTGCTGCCACTGTCAACTGCATTTTTGTTCAACTAAGGGAAAAATGAAGAGGTGGAAACTTGTGGTATGACAGCATGATATTGAACCACTGAAATCAGTGGGAGTAATGCAACTGGCTTCAGTGGGAGCTGGATCAGACCCCTAACCAGGCTGGCAGCTCTCTTCTCAGTTCAGTTTGAACATAAATCATGTGGTAAGATCTGAATGAAATGTTCAGTGTATGTTTCTGAATTTCAGAACCCCCAGCATGCCAAGACCAGGCTGCGTGAGCTCCTCTGTTCTTTAATACCCTGGCACCAGGCTCAGGCTACTTTGCTGGAGTCTGTTGATATCCTCAGATTCTCTCACAAAAGGGAAGGAGGTCACCACACAAACCAATGAAAAAAAAAAAAAGCCATCTCTCTACATCAATAGGTCCAAGCTGTCAGCTGAATTGTCTGCTTTCAAGGGGTTTTTTTTTTTTCACGTGCAGTACAGTGAAGGTTGTGTGATGAATTCTTCGCATGCCGTACTGAGAATGTAATACTGTGCTGAATTCTGCAGTACTTTGGGAGAGATCTGCAAATGCCAGGTAAAGATGGAACAAAGACCCACAAATTAATTGCACTAATTAGCTTTCTAGAGAAATCAAATTGGATCTACAGATGAAGATGTGCTGCTAGTCATGGGCCACTGAGATTAACAGATGATGAGAGAGGAGCACTTATTAGTAATACCTTAGAGCTAATCTTCTGCATTCAAATCTCTGTATGCTAGTTACCAAAATTTTGAATATAGCATATAAATACCTTCCAAGACTACAAATCCATGTGCAAACAAGTCTAATGCACAAGGATTTTGCATGGCTAAGCATAACCTTCTAAGCAGATGGCTTTCCACTGGTGAAAAGGTCCAGGTGTTCATGTTGCAACTGTTCCTGCAATTAAAAGCTGGCTTTTCTCTCCTAAAACAGAACAAACAAACCCCACCCCTGAACTGCAAATTTCCTGCACTTTCATTTTTGAAAACATCAAAAGTGACCGTTCCAAGGTTAGGATTTGGAACACAACAGATTTTGCACACGCAGAAATAATGGAAGAATGTTATGAACAGCTCAAATTACCAACACTAGCAAAGTGTATAAGAGACTTAACTCCCAGTCCTGTGTGCTGGTCTGGCTGAATCACATTTTTCTATGTACACAACTTTTGCCACATGGACCTTGCTGATTTGAAGGCTTCCCTACTGTCTCAGCAGTTTAGATTTGCTTCTGTTTCACAGCCCCTTTGATGAATTAAAGTGAACTTTTTAGGCAGTCCTGCCTGTGGTGACTTTCCTAACTGGGCTGTTACAAAGGCTGGCTAGCTGTAGCATGAATATTATGACAAAGAGAAAGAAAAGAGTGTACACGTTTCAAGGGAATCACTTTGCTCAAAAAGAAGCTCTCCTGTGAATAGCGGCAATGTAAGGTTGCTGCCTTCCTACTTGAAACGACCTCCCCACGCGTTTTGTGAATATCTGCTCACTTGAGTGACAAGCCTGTTAGCAGGAAGTAGCCAATACAATTATGGGAGATTGCTGCGTTCTGTTCCCATTCAGTATCTGAATTGCTGAATTCCAACTGCAAAAGTCAACCTCTGGTTGTACCTTAACAACTCCCAAGCAGAGAACAATGGTATCTCATGGGGCATACTGTTCTTGTGATCAATGAGCACTGCAAAATGAAAAAGCCAACAACTTGACTACGTGCACTTATAGAAGCTCTGCCCAGGATCTGAAAGTAAGTCTTACTTGGAAACTGAGCCAATTTAATCTGGGCAAGCAGGTAAGGAATTTCCACAGTTCTTGAGCTGAACAGGTGTAAAAGATGCAGCCTGAGGAGCCCTATCACTTGGTCATGCTACTCATGAGTCTTGAAGCAGTCTCATGCACAGCATGCGGGGCTGGATCCAGAGCGCACACTGTGCACAAAGCACAATGCCGCACTACAGGTACAGACCAGCTCTTCACTACTCTTCTGGCCCAGAGGGCCTGATGAGTTTGATACCCCTGATTTAGAGCATTAGACTGCACTGTCACTTGTTATACTCTGTAAACACTAAAGTGTGGGATTTGTAGGAGTACAAAGCTGTCTGCTGTAGTAACTTGCATGAGAACACCATTCATCTCAACCACCACACCTATTTCAAGAATATCTATGGCAAGGTTTTTTTGGGAGGTGGGGGTAGATACATGTATCCTCTTACTGCAGAGCATACATGTATGCTACAAAAGCCTAACTGTTAATCCAGGATTCATCCTGCAGCCAACAGGAGAGCAGGGATCACAAGCAGTGCAAGAGCCAGTGCTGAATGTGGAGCAATCCATATAAAATACAGTGCTGGGATAAGAATCATTTAGTTTTTAAATGCTGCCTTTAATTATGATGCCCCTCAAGCAGGAGGAGTGTTGTATGGTCATTTGGATGTGAGAAACCAAACGGATTCTAGTCCAGGCACAGAGGTCAAAACTTTCTTGTAACTAATAACACTGGGCATCGAACCTGACAGAAAATGCTGCGCTGTCCAGAAGGTCCCTCTGAGGGGTCTCAAACTGGGCTCCCCAAAATCCCTGGTTGCTCCTAAGTCTTGACTTGTGGTCAACGCTAATAGCATCTGGTCTCTAGAAGCTGGGTTAAAGGCTTTCCCAAGTCAAGAGAAGAAACTCTGTACTTCCTGTCCTTAGGACTGCAGCTACACTGTTTACCTCTACAGCCATTGGAAGGAAAAGATTATTCAACACAAGCGCATTTACCTGTGCAGTCATTTACAGAACACTTGGGTGAGTCAGCTCGTCTCTGTGTTGCAGCACCTGCTGTGGAGTCTTCACAGATGAGGGGAAGTGGCTGCTCTTTGATGGTTGCTGGTGCCGTCAAATGCAGTGGCAGAGGAGGTGGAGGGGGGGGAGGAGGTGGCGGTGGCAGTGGTGGGGGCATCATCATCAGTCCTTCGCTGTACTTTGGATCTTCAGTGAGAGCAAAAACCTGCACAGGGGTATCTGCTGGGATATTCTGACATGGCATTTTTAAACCCTTGCCTGGTGCTAGCTGGGTGCTGCTTGACTGCTGTGGGGCTAAACTGATTATTGACATAGGCTGAGGGGACAGTGCTGGAGTCTCATGGGAAACACCTTGTGGCTGCTTGGTGTTGTGAAGCTGTGAAGGAGGCGTTTTCAGCACAAGCTGAGCTGGACACTTCTGAAAACAAAAAGTAGTTAGATGATGTCTTCATCTTGCTGGTAAAAAATATAAAAAATAAAAAAAAAAATACAGGCAGAGAGGAATTGTGGAGCAAAGACCCTCTGCTACTTGCTTGCTCAAGCAAGAGAAACCATGCTGCAGTAATTAAAGGGACTCTCAAGGGGATTTTCAGAACCCGTTACCCTATGCTCTCTACTGAAATCTGTTTCGTTAGTGGGGGGTTTTTCCATCAGTTCATTGCATACAAATGCTGTTTTAATAATGAAGGGCTGCTCACGAGCAGAAGGCTCCAAGCATTTATTTTAGACAAAAGGGGGCATTTACTGAAGCACTTATTGAGGAGTGAAGGTAGAATTAAACAGGCAGCATGAACAGATAACAGTTCAGACATGTTCTGCGTATTTTGATCTGTTTGCAAACATTCCTTTAATTGTGCTTTAGCATAAAACTAATTAGAAAAATCCCACTCCTGGCTTTTCTCTAGCCTGTTCCTTATCCATACTGTGTGTCAGAGCACAAAGAGGTAAAATGGATGCACAGGTTAACATCAGACACCCTGTAAACCCATGCAATAGAAAACCTGTCTCCTACTTGTTATGCTTTGGTGAGTATTGCTGTCATTCAAGTAAGCCTGCAGATAGGACAGTCATCAGAGTGGGTCTTGCGGCTTTGCTTTGCTGCTCTGGTGACCTTTAGGAAGCTATTGATTACCACAGGTTCTCTGCCACTCCTATTTCAACCTCTTGCTAAATTATACAAATGAACTAAAACACCCCACCCCCATATCCGTCTTCCCTCTTGGAAGAAAACTACAGAAGCAGAAGTGCACAGCTGCAAAGTGCTTTAAAAGTGCCCAATTGCAAAACCAATTAACCCTTATTTAATGAAGGTTCAGATGAAGGTGCCCCAAAGCAGAGCACCTTCACTAACTTCTGTTTGTCCCTACCTGCGAGCAGCCCACCCATGTCCCCGGTACTCTCTGCAGGACGGGAGGTGGGGAGGGGAGAGACTGCTGATCTGGGGTTTGCCCAGCCTGTGCTGGAGATGGGGTTGGGTGGATTGGAGCCCCCCTGAGGTGGGGGGCTCCAATCCACCTTCCTCCATCTCCAGCACAGGCTGGGCAAACCCCAGATCAGAGCTCCCTCCCCTTCTACCTCCCATCCTGCAGTCAGCACCAGAGTTAAAAGGCAGTGGGGAGCAGGGCTAGGGGCAACTCCAAAGTGGAGCTCAATTTCCCTGCCACCCCTGCAAACAGAGAATGTTTGCTGGATGGGGTAGGAGTGGAGGGAGATTGCTGTAACTCATGGCACTTTCTGTGAAGCGCCATGAGTTACAGCAGGGAGCTGCACATCTGTCAGTGGCTTGTACTTTGCTATTAAAAAAAAAAAAAAAAAAGCAGAAAAACTTAAGAAAGGCAAGACTTCTATTATACACAGTATAAAAGTCCTAACCTGGCCTCCCACTGGTAGTGTAAAGGACTGTCTGCTTTTAAAACCTAGTCCAAATGTTAAAAATAGACTGCAGAAATAGGAATGACCTTTTCTTTTCTTTTTTTTTGCTAAGTTTCAGGCAACCATATGTCAGATTGTAGTGCAGTGACATGGTTCCATATGGTAGGGAAACAGGGTGAGATTTCAGAGTCTTGTATGTGAGAACAAACTCTTGACTTTTTCTTTTGAGACGCATCTTTTTTTTTACTTACGTACTCACACATTAGTTTAACACTTGACATCACTAAACCTGGATGATGATGGATCCACTCTTAATAATTTCCCCCTTGAAGCTCACTGCCAAATTCTTCCCATTTCTAACCATTACTTAATCCACTGCTATGATGTTCTTTAAGATGTCCTAACTTAGATACTTGTAACTGCCTAAAAGCAAGGCTTTAAATAAAGCGCTGAATAAACTATTCAGTCTTACAAAACCTTAGTGCGCTTTTGGACAGTGGTCATAAAACGGAAAAGAAGAAACAGATACCAGTCAACATTAATGGTTTGAACATGGCCCATATCAATCAAACTCATGAATGAAATGTACCAAGAGGTACACAGGAATGTAACGTGCTTACTGAGGGCAGCATCACCCCTCTCCATGCAATCTAATCATCTGAAAACACCCGTAATGATCTTTTATTTAAGCAAAGATCCAAATGACCGATTGAAGAGGTTCTGTTTTATGGAAAGATTGCTGCCTTAAGTACCGTTTAAAGTGAGCAGGAGCTACTGAAACTCTTCTCTTAGCCTCTCTGGGCATTTATACACACACATTTTCATGCTCGACATGATTAATTGAGTCTGCTCCGCATGTGAGCTGATGCGCACAGCACTGCATCGCTTGCAGCTGTATAAACAGCGAAATGTGTGTCAGCGCGAAATAAATGTTGGCGGTGCACTTTTGAACTAAAACACCTTTAAAAGCGCTTTTCAAAGTGCCCAGCGCTGCAACACTTGCATGTGTAAAAATGTCCTTTGTGGCAATCCTGAAGTCCACAGCAGAGGAAGAACAATGGATTTGGGGAAGATAATTACACAATATTTTCAATGGAAACACTCTTCCAGCATATGTAGATCACATTACCTTGAACACTTGCATACAGTTTTTATGTCAGTGTTTTAGAAGGATAAATAATTTCAGTATCTTCAAGTTTTAACTATCCTTTTAAAATTATATTTACAGTACTTGCCTCCTTGAATGTTTTCAGCCTCTCCAGTGTTTTCTGGCGTTCCTGGCTTATCCAGGTTTTCTTCTTTTTCTCTTCCTCTTTCTTTGTCTCTCGTTTCTACATTTAAAGACACGTGAGTAAGCTTTGGGCAGGCAGAAGCATGGCTGGCAGGCTCTGCAAGTTTTCCTTTGGTACTCACGATCTTTATGCTGTGATGCTGCTGGTAGCGTTTTATGTTTTCCTGGGCCTCCTGAAGTCGAAGCTGGTGGCTCTCTTCACATTGCTCCTGATGGAATAATAAAATTCAAACAACTCCCAATTAGCTTGTCAAAGTGTGTGTGAAATCTATGCTCTGAAAAGCAGTTGCAAAAGAAGCATCCTAAGCTTAGGAGGTACAGAATGGGACTAGAAATTTGACATCTGCAGGAATCTTTCCACAGACTTTGGGCATTAGCTCTGGATTGTGATGTCTACCCTAGACTGGCAGATGGGCTACAGAGGAAGCAGACAACTTTGCAGAGTGCAGGATTGCCTTGTACTGCTTCTCATCCCTATGGTCCATTTAGGACAACAGCTAAAGAAGCTGTATGTAACTGTCCACAGCCAGGCAGATGGTGGCTGAGATGAGAGGGAGAAAGGGAAAGGAGGAGAGAGGGGAACTGAAAGGTACCAGGCTCCTCCGTTCGATACTCCAAATGTCTTATTTATAAAATCAGAGATAGCACATGCACACACAGCATGGTAAATACTTCCCAGTAGAATACTCGCCATCGGTAATGATACACATCAGAGAAGTTGCAAGTTTCATTACTTTCTGCCCAAATCATTACCCAAGTCATTTGTTTGTCATTCTACAGATGCAGGTTTTTTATCTAAAAGGTTGGTTAGGCATTTGCCAATCACCTAGTACTTGGCTTCTGTGTTAAATAACCAATAGATTGCTATTGAGTGAATGAAAAATCAAAGCAGAAGAAGCAATTGTGGGAGACAGAGTGATTCAGGAAGTATCACTAGCAAGAGTCTGGTAGTAGCTACTGGAAGTTCCAAGGGTAGAGGCATTTGTTCGGAGCTGAGCAGATATATGCCACACTGTTCTCTGCATTTGGGTCTGAGATAGCATGGATGTAAAGCAACTGAATGTGCAGAGCTTGCTGGAAAGGACTGGGAGGCTCAATTTACGCACGTTTCCAGTTTGTGGTGCTCACTGTAACTAATGCAAATGGAAAATAAAGCACAAAAACCCCATAAGCTGAAGAGGCCAGAGAGAAAGCTGTAGTAGCAAAAGCTTTCTATCACCCCACACAAACACAAAGTATAACAGATCACCATGCTGTACTTGTCGTTTGTACCTGCAGCCTTTTGCATTTTGAGGCAGACCTCCTCCTGAGGTGCAGCTGCTTTATACCAGGCTACCAGGGCAGAGCACCTATAACTATAGCTGACTATAGGAGGACTCACCCCATGTAGGAGAACAGCCAGCATAACTGCTCTTGCATCAACCTCATACCAGGTACTGGGGCAGGGACACAGCTGAGGTTTCACTGGACCCTAGGAACCTCATGATGTCTGCCATTCCCTTAAGATAACCAACCTAAGTTAGAGCAACCTTAACACATTCTGACAGTCTGTTCCACCACACAGCTGACCTAGAAGCACAAAGCTAGCTTCAAGCTGCCACTGCCTCCCAGATGGGGTCACAGCACCCAGTGCCATGCTGTCCTGTATACACTCCTCCCAAAGCTTCCCTTTACAGTTCCCTTTCTACCCCCTACAAAGGAGGATTTGCACTACAAGCTAGAAAGAGTGCCCAGCTCCTGGACTGCATTTACTTTTTTGTTCCTGAGGTAGGCTCTTCTCGCACAGATAGTCCCACGTTTAGTCTCCAACTGCTGAGTCTTCAGCCTCAGCTTAGTCACTTCTGATGACTGAACATAATGCGGTCCCCTTTTCTGTTCAGTGACCTGGAGTTCCTCAGGATTTTCACATGTATCATAGTAAACAACTTCATCCTGTTTCTCTAGAAAGGCATTCAGTTTTTAAAAACAAAACCCCAAACCCCAGAAAGCTCTAAAGTTCTTTAAAAAACTAGTGACACTAAGACATAGAAGCTGATAAGCAAGTTGTTAGAAGTACATTTTAAACCTGATTTGAGCCCTGAAAATATTTGTGCATATATATAACTTTACTCACCAGAGTAAAGTTACCGATGGGTTTTCTAGATCAGGTTTAAGCCTTTACTGCTGCCATGGTTTGGCTTCCCATTTAAGATGCTGGGAATTTTTTCTGGTTACTCATACCTTTTCCTTCATTGAGTCTCTTGGCAAACTGAGAACCATTCTGAATTGCAACTAATCCATTTCTTTTACTACAAACATATATTTTGATTACATTAGACAATAAGCAATAACATTATTTATCCAAACACTACACTGTCTACTAATGGAGACTACTTAACCCAACTAATTAACATTGCTTATATTTATAACTTGTCATAAATACACTGTTTAGAAAAAAGCTAGTTAGCAAAAAAGAATCCTAAGTAGAATCAAATTACAATCGCTTTCTTTTGTTGTTAATATTGTGTATATTGCAATTCTACATTATTCGGTTTGCCATTCAATTTTAGGGCACCATCAATGGGTTTTTTTCTTTCAATTACATAATTTGTATAAGATGTATGCACAATTGCTAATTTATATTTCCAAAACATGTATACGTGCATGGCAGGTGCAGTTAGGACTTGCTGTCTGTGTGTTCCTTTATCCATTTATCAATAAGTGTTATCAAATTTGCTTCATAAGACTGAATTGAGTTTACTGAAATGTCTTGCTGTTGAGAGAAAACTTTAAATGGAACAAGAGCTGAGTAGCAGCAATGCACTCTTTTACAGGATGTGTGCATCTCTATGTTTGTATGTTTTTAGGCTGTGATTATTTTCTTCTTACCTTTAATCTGTCTTTTTAAGGTCTCTAATTGGGCAATGAGCAGCATTTCTTCATGTTTCAGTATCTCAAGTTGTATGTTATACAATTTCAGCTGAGTTTCATAGTACTCTATTTCCAGTTCCTCTACTACAGCTATATTCTTTTGTTGTTCGTCAAGGTTTTCCATCTGTACATTTCCAAACAAGAAATAAAAAAAGCATCAGTAATGGAGTGTGTGAGTGAGTGTGCGCATGCGTACACGCAGACGTTCTCGCCTCTTCCCCATGAAAGTTAGTTTTTGACAACATGCTTGGAAATAGCAAGAGTAAGCAGACTGACTATCAAGTTGGTTCAGCTGAGGAGATTTGGTCGCTCCTAAAAGTGACCCACAACAAAGTGGGAGAAGTATATAAAGTATACCCTTACCATTGCTTTTTAGCCATTTATGAACACCACTAGTTCTGAGAATATTGTGCAAAAAAACCCCTCAAACCCAGTTTTCCCCATTAGAAATTCATATCTTGTCTTCCAAGAGAACATTCTCTGGCAACTGGAGAACTAGAAAAATGCTGACCTTGCAAGTTTTGAAGAGAACGAATGGTGAGCAATTACAGGATATTTAGCTGCACTGCTTATCATTCCTGGGATGTGTGTTCAGTTTGGCTTACCTACTTAACTATCCATTTAAAATGGAGCTGCCATATGCTGCAGCTGCTAGGGCATGGTAAGGCACAGTGTCACCTATAAATATCCTGATCTCAGTGACAAGTGCTTTGGTATCATGGGAACAAGTGCAACCAATACTTTCTTTAGAAAGAGAAGAGGGCTTCAAGCAGAAACTAAAGGCAGCTGATACTACCTCAAGAGTCACTCATTTAAAGCACACTCTGTGGCATTGCATCAAGTCTTTAAAAGTCAAAAGGGAAACTTTGAATTTTAAGGGCTTGAACAGGATCTCCAGTCATGAGGGCCCATGTCACATGGCCTGTAAAATCCTCAGCTATGTTTGAAAATGCATGTTCAGCATCTGATTTTATAAGACAGGATCAAAATCTAAATGTCTGATTTTTTTTTTCCCCCAAATGACAATACAAGACGTGGCTGCACAAGCTCTATGAATTTTCTCTATGTCAACTGACCAGAAATACTGAGATAGCAATTGTAATTTTCAGCAGTTTATTGTTGGTTTAACTACTAAAAAGTTCTGGTCAGTAAAAATATTATCTGGTATGCATAGAACAGAACCACAAACATTAAAGGAACAGAATACTGTGTCTACATAACTTTCATTTTTTCTTTTATGATAAAGCTGCCATTAATAACAGTTCTCCATTATGCCAAAGTCAAATATAACAGTGTTTTTATATAAGCACAAATACACAGCTGTTAATTCCAAGTACAGGTGGGGCATTGTACTACACACAGAAAATAACAATCAGAGGATTACAGAAGCAGGTAGAATTCTGATCTTTTTCAAATTTGCTAATTGTAAAAATGTCTGCTTCTTGATACAGTCCTCTTCTTCTCCCCCAAATACATGATTTATTGAGTAGAGGAAGTAGAGAATTTTAGGTATGTATTCTTCCATAATTTCAGAACTAATTTTGAAAACCAGGGAGTTTTTTGTTTCAAAACTGTTGTTGAGAAACAAAATAATTCGGCACATTTGATCAACTCTGTGATTTAGCATGTGCTCAAGTACTTTGCTGAAAGAGCGCCTTTTAAGTCTGAATTCATTAACGAACAGGGTCTAAAAGACTCTTTTTGACTGGATCAAGTCTTTAGCATGGTAGAAAAAAGGACATGAACCACATTTTGCTACAGTCTTACTTTTTTCCGAATGCCAGCTCTCTTCTTCTTCAGACACAATTCTTTTGCTCTCCTGTGCTGAAGAGTCTCTTTAGCTAACATGTACTTCAGGTTTTCTTTCCTTGGAGAAGCTGATGCCCAGCTGGCTTGGCCAAATCTCAGCTGATCTTGTTCCATCTGCTTGTTCATTGCTGCCAAATTAAAGAGTTTCAACAAGATATAAATGCTGCTGTACTGATAACCCCCATTAGTCTATGGAAAATGAAGTACTGAGGAACTCTGGGGTGGGGGGGAGTAAAAGCATTACTTTTATACATGTACTGTATATATATTTTTAAACAACAGGACTAGAAAGGCTGGAATCAGAGTGCTATAAAGTCAAACTAGTTCTGCCATTAAATACTCCATTAAATCCTTAACATTTTACATGCTAAGAGTTAGTCTTCTGCAATAAGGGTCAGCAATTTCGTAAGGTGGTATCTGGACCAACTGTGTAATTGGGATAGAACTGGGCAAGCTTTTAAATGCAAGACATTCTGAATTTAAATTTCAAACTTCTTGCATTCAAAAGCTCGTCCAATTCTCTCCTAACTACAGTTGGTCCAAAAAAAGATGCCATTCTAAGAAATCCTTGCTTCTGTAAGACTGACATAATGGCTACATCAGTCTTACACTATCATAATGTTAAGGGGGGGGGGGGGGGGCATATAAATCCAGTAATAAATAAAAATATTTGCTGAGGTTTGTAAGGCCCAAATCTTGGTCCACTGATGCAATTCTGGGTGCAGACACTCTTTTAACATATGCTAGGGGCTCCTCCTAGCCCCATGATATGCAGTGGTGTAATTGCAATGACAATATAAAGGTTTTTTTCTTATCTGAGCTGCAGTCTTATTCTCAGCAGCGCTGCTTAGGGGTATGTAGGCCTTAGAGTCAATTCTTCACAAGTTACTTGGCTTACCTGTCAGGGCTTTCACAGTTTCTTTGAAATAGTTCACAGTGATGTCCTGAATAGAGCACACTGCTTCTGCAGCCTGCTTAGTCCATTTTGCAACTTCTTTCTGTAGGGCTTCTATTCTTTTAGGGCCCAGGTTATCAAACTGCAACGATTTCTATGAAGAGATATGTTGTGCAATTAACCACTGATCATTATCATGTTGTTTAACCAAAACAATGCCACATAGACAGGCCAATAATGGCTTTTGTGACCTCCACACTCCTTGTCACAAAACGAGTAAAAACAATGTGATATCAGGAGCATAGGAGAAAAACTGTTCACTAGGGTGCCCCAGAGGAGGACAAGGAGAGCAATGGCCATAAACTGTTAAGAGGATGGTTTCGGGTGGGATGTAAGGAAGAACTTATTTACGGTAAGGATGGCCAGAATATGGAACAGACTTCCTAAGGAGGTGGTGCAGTCTCCAACCTTGGAAAGCCTGCAAGAGGAGCCTGAACAGACACCTTGCTGGGATCATTTGATCTCAACAGTATTCTGACCCAGAGCAGGGGGGGTTGGACTCAATCGTTCAAGGTTCCTTCCAGCCCTTAGTTTCTGTGATTCTACAATAATGACTTGAGCATTTCCACTGAGAAACAATGGATTCAATTATTTCTTAGGGTGGCATTAAACAGTCATCTTAAAAAATCACCTTGGGTTCAAAAAGTTTTCCCTGCTAATAAAAGTAACTCATGTACATTCTGTTCTCTTTGGTTTATACCATGCATCTGACAGCACTACACACAGTCAATTTTTCCTCTCTGCAATAGCATGGTTTTCACAATAGCAGGGTTAAAAAAAAAAAGATTTAAGTACCAAGTTAACACACTTGTAACATCCACAACAATTGGCAGGGAGCACAAAAGAAAAAGTGCAGTGCCTGAAAACACTACTACTTGTTTTTTTTAAAGAGATGATTTGAAATATAGAGTCTAATCTTCCTTTGCAGATTTCAATTTAAAAAGAATAGAAGTTTCTGAGTTAGGTTTGTGAACCCTACTCTGCACTTATCACATCATAAATAAAAGAGCACACTAGCTTACTTTCGTAGCATTTGTAAATTCAGTATCCAAGACAATTATGGTAAGTTAACAATAGTTTCATCCTTAATTCAGAATTATTCTGCTTCTGTTCATTTCATCCGAGACATTAGTTTTAAAGATTATACAGTGAAATGTTAAAAATCATAGCAATCCATGATAGTGTTCCTTAACTACAGTGGCATAATATCAGGGTCAATCTGATGCAACACAGAAAATATTGACATTGGATGAGCTTTTCCATGCAATATAGAAGCACAAATCCCTCAGAAAGTTAATGTGTCTCATGCTCATAAGTGGCTCAGGTCCCTGTAAACAGAGAATGAATACCAGGGGGAAAAATTCCAGAGAGCAGAACAGGGTGAGGAACTGGATAGAGAAAATAAAAAAAGATGTTAGTGAAAAGCCAACTGAAAACATTGGCTGAGTTGCTATTCAGCTGTATACCACAGATTCTACACATCCTCTGAGGATAGATCAGCTTTAACTTTGAATTCTTCAGGGTTTTATCAAGTCAATCATAAGTTTTGTGGGCTTGGGGACAGAGGGAGTAAAGGAAGACAAAATCTGGGGACTTAAAGACACTTAAGCAATTTGGGGGCCAAAACTGCCCAGCGGGCAGGTGCAGTGCTACACCTGATTTGATTTTTGTCCTCAAAGGGAATACCTACCAGGATTTCCAGCTTGTACAACGTTGCCAATTCTCTCATATCTCTAAAGGGCTGCAGTAAATATTGGTAGAATTGTGTTGCCATAGTAACTAAATCCCAGTAAGCCTCATCTTCTTCTTCATAAACCTTCATTAAAGCTACCATTGTGTCAGCATTTTTATGCCGCTGAAGAACCTAGCAGATAAAAGGTTTGAGAGTTAGTGTCAGCTGCAGTACTTCTGTTTCTGGGCAAAACATGACAGTCTCTCAAAGATTGCCTTTTGCATTTGTGTACATTACAACACTGGCATACTTCAGCAGAAAGAACCTATCACTTGTTGTCACATGAAATAGCCAAGACTTCCAGTTATGAGATGTAGTCCAGGTATTGGCAATTATTCCCCAATAAGAAATATCACTGATGACAATTTCTTGAGGGCACTAATTACTACATATCGCACGTGAAGAATGACTGCACAATGATGCCTTGACCACTTCTTATTGTAAAAATTCTGATAGATGTGCACAGAGGATTTTGTCCACATTATAAATATGAAGATTCACAGGGTAAGCAGAAAAGATGCACTTTGTAGGTCAAATAAGGTTTTCCTTTAAAAACTAATTATTGCATTGTTCCCCTCAGGCCTACAAAATGCCTAGTAATAAGAAATGAGCTATGATAAGCAAAAATCTGACCCTAAGCATGAACACACTGACTTTCAGACCTGGACTACTTCTCCTTTGAACTTCTAGTGCAATGGGGGGCAATTTTTTTTTTTTTTTTGCAGATATGCCACAAATTATTACTGCGCCCTCCTGAGTGCTACTTTGATCCCCACTTCCTCTTCCCAATCTGCTGCTCTTCTTTCTGCTTATTGCCCTGTGCTCCCTGCCTGATCTGTTGCTTGTCACCTGTCCCCTTCCCGATCTGCTGTGTGCCACATGCAGAGGCTGCTCATGTCACTTGTCACACTCATGCCTCAGATTGGCCACCCCTGTTCTAGAGTAACCTACAGTTATAATCCTAAAGATACATGGCATTCTTATACTACAGGAACCTAACCTAACAATACCAATTATGTGAATTTTAACCTTTATTTCTTCCATACATATTCAAACTGCCTTTTAATACATGTCTGTATCACACCTAATCCCTAGGGTCTCACTCTCATGAGGTTTTTTGTGCGTCTGCCATACAGGTTTTGAAAACTTGCACAATTTAATAGTGTGCTAGAGATTTTCACAGATTAGTCCCATGCTAGACACGAGTCCGTGATTTACTGATGACAGAGTTTTTTCAAATTCATCTGAGAGCAGCTAAATGTGACAGTGGTATTTGCCAGCAAACACAAATTTTGCTTTTTATGCCAATTAAGCTGAGGTAAGCTCCATGAGAAATGAGGTAGGGTCCTGAAAGGTTGTTGGTTTGGATACTGGGATTTTACGCAGAGGAGGGAAAGAAGAAATCTTTGGAAAATGCGGGCCCAACTGTGTTCCTATTGAAAACAATGGGGTGAGACCTTTGACTCTGTCTTCCCAATTGACCCTGGGGAAAAAAGGGTGCTTAGAAGCTAAGGTCTGGCTAGGACAGAATACCTACAGTGCAACTTCTGTCTTCCAACTATTTTCTCACAAGCTGTGGCATGCTGGCCATGTCAGAAGCCAGGCCTTATATTACAGAAAGTGCTATGGCTCGCGGGGGATAGTCCCTGGAGGCTGCCCTAACTTAAGGAGAAGGCAGGATAGGTTTGCACCTTAAAGACTAATGAAAATGGAGATATCTAAGCTTTCTTAAGCAGTAGCTTGCTTCATCAAATGCTCTGAGGGTCATCATAGCATCTGATAAAAACAAGCCACAGCTTACAAAGGCTTTAGGCATCTCTGATTTCAGTAGCCTGTAAGGTACAAATCTATCCTGCCTTTCCCCGACTTCAGACTCATACAGGTAACTGCCTCTCTCTGCCATAACTTAGGCAAGCCTCCCAAGGGTCACACTGCAGTGAGAAGCTTGGATTTTTTTCCCCCCATTATTTGAGCCAAGTGAAAAAATGTATTTGTCATGAAAAAAAAACCCTTTGGTTTTCCTTTCTGGTTCTCATGCACAATCCCAAAGCATGGGAGAGGGATGTGGTCATGCCCCTGCTGGAGAACATTTACATTTGGGGAAAGTAACAGGAGCAAAATTTTCTCCCCAAGCATGTTTTTTATTCAGCTTAGATTTTGTAAGCCCCTCCCTGTGACACTTCACTTTCTAGAAGTCTAGCTCACCACTAACTATACTGCTACTACTGGTATTGCTGGTTTTTTTCCAGTGAACTTGACTTAGGAAAATAGTATTATTTCATGCTGGTGTTGTCCTCCCCTCTGATGGGCTGAGGTATCTGGGAAGGCAAAGCAGAATATTTTCATTTACTATATGGCTATAAAAATAGGAAGAGAATGCCCTTGTGTTTATACCAATTTTGAGTCAAAAGCTATGGGTTTTATAGTTGCCTTTGCTTCAGAATTCCTATGCAACCTTGGGGAAATAAGTGATTTTTTGTGCCTCAACTACCTTGCCTCTAAGATGCAGGTGGTTACCTCATGGGCATTACTTCATCAGCATTTGCAAAGCCTGAAGATACAAGTAATGTTGTGTCAGGAGATGCTTTAGCCATGTCTCCACATTGCCAGAACTAAGCTGTTGTAAACATTTTCACCAAGCATGCTAAAAACCAAAGCTGATGTATGGTTCAGAAATACACTTCTAGGTGCTGCTGGTACCTTTTGCAAAAAAGAAAAATTAACCCAAATCATGTTTTAATATGATGCCACACTTCTGACCCTGCTTATTCTAGCAATCCAGTTATAGTAGGCATTAGAGTGTAACAACCAAATCTGAGTATCATCTCTAATAGACTTATCTTTTTCAATAGTGTTCTGGGAAAATCTTAAATCCTATTACACCCTTTAAACAATGAAATGTATCAGGTTGTGTAAAGCACTAGGCCAGTGCTGATTCTCCCCTGCAAAAGTACAGTAGTCCTGAAACACCTCCCATCCCCTTGTTCTGAAGAAGTGAAATTGTTAAGTAGTTGTATGGATACAGCATAATTGGTCATGCCACTAATTGTTTTTAACAAAGCAATGGACTACCTGCAGCTGTGCTCTTAAAGGGGATTATTTACAAAGCAAAATACCTCAACTGCTTAACCCTCACCTAATAAGGAACAGAGACCCTCAACATTTCCTTTAATTAGGAAAGAATCTTTTCTTGCTTTCATCGGTCTGCTCGGGTATCAGAAGATGGCTTTTTTTTTTACCCCCCATAAACCAGAAATACTTTTATTGGTATAGGAAGAAAGACCTCTCATCATTAGATAATGCACTTAGGCCAGAATTTTGCATTAGATAGAAAAAGATTGTTGCACCCCCTCAAATCAAGCATTTGCCATATGTCCACAGCCAGTGAGGCATTTAAATATAAAACCCTCACCAATACACATGCACCACTGTATTTTACATCAAAGACAGATTTCAGGGAAGAAAAAAGATTAAATTATTACAGTACTACTGATTAAGAGTGTTGTGTTATTTTGTTTTTGGCAGCTGCAACACTGGATGTTCTTTCGGCATAGGTGGTTGGTATTCTTTTTTTTTTTAGCACTCTAGTTCTGGTAGTCTTAAAGTTTCAGCTAAATACCTCAAAACATGCATGTGTACTGTCTACTTGAAATCTACTTCAACTGCATGCTACTAAGCCTGAAGAAGTCTAGACTACTCAACCATGGTCACTTTGTTGTTTTTGGATAGACAAGGAATAAATGATCAGACAAACACTAACTCAGGGTTGTCCTGGCATCCTTGGGTGCCTTGAGATCCTCTCAAGGATGATTTGTGGGGAGAGGGGGCTTCTTGGCTTTTTGCAACAGAATAATTGCTCTGTTTTTCAGTAGTCAAAAACAAGTATAAGCTCAGAGCTGACATTTCCTAGGGAGCCCCCACTGTAACCAGGCTGAGGAGCACTCGCTGACTGATTGCACTTTCCTCTAGCTCCAGTGGCTGTTCTAGCTATGCCTCAACAGTGCTACCCCCTCGCTGAAAGCCAGCTTGGAGAGCGGTAGTTCCCCGCTAGTCTGGAGTCAGGGTAGCTCTACTAGGCTAAAAAAACCCAACCAGATAACTGACTTGATTCACACCAGAACATTTTGTGTTACATCAAGTCCAAATCTTACAGGCAACTAATCTCAATGTCCCACATTACATACAATTTTTTTGAATTAGCCATGATCGTTCTGAGGCAGAGTTAATTCAATTTAATTGTCATTTGATGTGAATGGCTGGGCTGTGTCTGGTCTTGTTGGGAGTTGTATCTTGGCCTCCTCAGGGCCACATAAGACCAACAGTCTGTTTTTGCTGCTGCCTAGTGCAGTGTGCCTCTGAGCCATAGTCACCAAGATCACCTCAGGCCCAGCACTTCTCCCTCAGGCAAGCACCTGTGGAGCCACCCGTCTTGCTCCATTTTGCCAGGTCACTTCCAACCTGTCAGGCTGTAAAAATAGCCAGCCAGTTTGTTGTAGCCCTGATTAGGCCAGGATAGGACTTGCACCAAAATAGCTATATGGCCCACTCCTTTGCACATGAGGGGTGAAAACCAGTGTTGCCCAATGTCTCATTTGTGCCATCAACATTTCTGTGGCAGTGCAGGCACTAAGGCAACAGGCGTCGGTTCCCGTTGCTGTACTGCATGAAAGGCAAATCAGCGGTGCTTTATCACCAGGGGTGCGTGTTCCCCCTGCAGACTGCCCCAGCTGCTTGCGCTCTCCTGCCACCCTGGGAGGTGCTCTGGGGGCCTGAGGGTTGCCTCAAGCCCTGGGAAGACCAGGCTGCGCTCCCCAGGGCGGTGAGGGTGGCACCTGGGCTGGCCGCCCCAGTCACCAGGCGGTAGTTATGCTGCTGCCGAGACCAACACAGGGAACTGCCTCTGTGCACTTTCAGAGTGAGTGCACAGGCAGCCCTTGCCCTGGGGAGAGGGAAAGCCCCTCCGGGCTGCAGGGAGCAGAGCAGAGCAGAGGCCGGGCCTGGTTCCGGCCGTGGGGGGCGCCTGGGCCTGGCTTCGGCTCCGATGGTGGCAGGGGCCGGGGGCCACGGGCTGGGCCGCGCCCCCGCCGCAAC